GAAGGCCGCAGGCCGGCCGGGCCGATTTTCGCTATGTAAATATCGGTGAGGGGGGAGGGACGGGGGACAAGATGGCGGCGGCTCGGCGCCTGCTGCAGGGGACGACTGAGGGGTTGTCGGGAGGGGGAGCCGCCATCTTGAAGGCGGTGTCGGAAGAGAAAATTCCGCTACAGCCCGTGAGGGGGGGTCGGAGAGCGGGCGGCGGCGGTGGCAGCGGCTCCGGTGACGGGCCCCGGAGTCCCGGCACGTTAGCGTGTGCGAGCGGAGGGGGCGTGCTCGCTCCCCACAGCGGCCATTGCCCTCGCCGCCATAATGGGCTCCAGGCGCTTGGCGGCAGCGCCACCTTTCTGCCCTTTCCCGCAGCCCCGTGACTGGCTGCTGCTTCCGCTGCATTTTAACTGAGCTGCGGCAGGCGGCCATCACCGCTGTCTGGGCGTTGGGTTCATGTCGTCCCTCTGGGCCCACGGCCCCGCGTCTTTCCCTCGCGCTTGTAGCCACCTGAGGGCAGTTGGGGCGGATGGCAGCCCGGGTGTCTGGGGTCACCACGGCAAATGGGACCCCCAAATATTTTCTCTCTCAAGCAAAGTCATACGTGGCCATTAGGGTGCCCGCGATGCGGTGCTTTCCAGCAATCATTACCTTCTCGAGTATTTGAATAAAGCAGTAAAGATAAAATTTGACAGGAAAGAAGTTTTCATCACTCTTTTATCCAATAGGGGAAAAAGTTCAAATTGCACAGCCCGAAAACGTAGGAATAACATTTTGGAGTCTTAAACGCATTTATTTGGAAACAACTTTAAGTAAGCTATTAGCGATCTGTTGGTAGTAGTTACTTTTTTTGATGAATAAGGAAAGGGCAGAAAGTTAATTTTTTTACTGAAAGACAACATATGTAGTTTTTTATTGTTCATGTACGTGTCATGGTATTTAGAATTGTCTTTTTGATTTGAAAAATTCATACTTTTGATTGTATACTACACAACTCCTGTAAACTCGGAGCTCAGTGTTAGGGATGCATTGTGCTGTTGCTAAGAACGATTAGAACGTTTAGAGTGTGGCTGCAAGAAGTTCTGAGGTGGACGAGACGAGCTGAAATGCACTTAAAGTGCTGCGGTAAAGGTACTGAGGTTTCAGAGGAAGGCTGGGTTTCCTTTTGGAGTCTTAGGAAGGTGTTCCTGAACTAGGTGACATTTCGAGGTTACTGAAGGATGGGTAGGACATCGTTAGGCAGAGGTGGGGGGTGGGGAAAGGGTATTTCAAGGGTGAAGCTTCTTCAGAAAACAGCAAGTATTTACAGTTTGGCTGGAGTAGACGGTGTAGGTAGGGGAGTGGTGGGAATTCTAGCCAGAAAACGTAGATTGTGGAAGAACTTGCTTGTCAGGTAGAAAGACTTGTCCTGGATGGGGGAGGCCCAGGAGTGCCCTAAGGTAGCAGCGTGATGACATACCTGAGCTGGGCTTTATATTCACTTAGACTAGGAAAAGTTTCAAAACTGAGAAATAACGAGAGTAGCAAGTTGGTAAGTGTTTTCACTACTGGAATAATTAGCAAGAATATTCAGAAGTTAAGCCAGTTTTGCTTCTTTTTGAATGATCCATCTACTAGAGAGCCGCTCCTTTTTTCTATCCTAACTTCTCACTCCAAATAACCTTTTCCTCAGTTATTATAATTTCTCTCGTTAACAGATAGGGAGGGGTTTCTAACTTTTCATTTACCATGATGAAAAATACAAGACTAAACATTTAAATCATTTCTTCAATTAAATAAATAAGAAAAGAAAGAAATACAGGATTAGTGCTATGGATTACTTTACTAAAATGAGGAATAAATATTCCCATGGTAATTTTTTAAGAAGTCAGTTTTTAAAAGTGGGTTAGAAGAACCCATTACTAAAGAGGCAGTGGCCTTCAGATGGTCTTTTGCAATCCCTCTTCTTCCCCCCTGGTGAGAGTAACCAACTTTTTGTTTGAGAGAGTAACTAATGGTGTTTGCTAAGCCAAGCCTTCTCACATTTTGATTAATCTTTGACTCTTAGATGCACTTGTGAGGAATATGTGTCCTAGAATTTTATGATATAAAACTCTAGGTAGCTTAAGTATTCACTAGAAACTTGTTTCAGTTTTTACATTCCTAGGACAAGAGAGAACTGGAGGTTCTTCTCATGGTTATCATAAAGGGCCATGGTTTAGAGAACTTTGAAAAACTGCATTGTAGGAGGCCCACTGGAAGCAAGTTGCTAAGGCAGGCTGGGTTGTGGAGATGGTAAGAGTAAACATTTAGAAGAACCAGTTGCTTTCTATCTTGACAGCTGGGAAAGACTTAGAAGAGCTCAAAGAGAGAATTGTATTGCACACACAGCACCAGTAGATGTTCTAGTATGGCAAGAATGGATGTTCACAATAAAGATTGTTAAACTCAAGTTGTATAATTAAGAAGATAAGTAAGTGCATAGTTTGGAAGGATTTCTATTCCACTTACACATAGAATGCTTTTTACCTGAAAGGGTAGACCTTGATGATCTGGAAAACTGACTGATGGAACACCTTATTACCCTACCATCTTAGATAAATGAGGTGTTAATTTTTAAGTTATATGGCTGTTTCAGGTAGATGTAAGTTTCTTTTTTTAAAAAACATGCTCACAATGCATTAAAAAATTTTTTTTCCTCACATTGCTTTTCGTAAATGCTTCCTCTCTAACCCCATCTGGACTTATATTGTCACTGATGACCTTGTTTGTATTATCTTTGTGTGGGTTGGCGATTCCAGGCTTTTTTTATTCTTAGACTCCTCAACTCGACCTTGAAACCCCTCAGCCTCAGCAGAGATTACCTAATCTTTTTATTTATGTCAGAAGGATAGATGATCATCTGATCTAAGCATTTGAGTTTCCTTCCTTCCACTTTATGCTCTGTCTTTACCTAGGCTTTCCTCCCTCCGGTTTTTTTTTCGCTGCAGGAAGAATTGGCCTCCTTTGGGCCCAGCTGCTCTGCCTGTGCACTCCACCCGTCCTTTGGGACGGATCTCTGTCAGTGGTTCGCCGCTTGCATCATTGCCCTCTAACTCTGCTGGTACCTTTCCCTCCCCTTATAAACATTCTTAGGGTTTGCTCATCTTACGAAAACCTCACCTGTCGTCTTTTTTCCTTTCACGAGTACTTTTATTTCTTTTCATCCCACTTATTCCTAAATTGGGTAACTGTTCCACAGCATGTCACCAGGTGTGTCATATGAAAGTGTTCTGTGTTTCAGAAACTCTGTCTTCTCTGTCTTTTGTCATGGGATTTCCCTCAAGGTCAATCCTGTGTCCTTTTTTTTCCTCAAATCTTCTCCCCTGGTTTCAGTGTTTTATACCATGCCCCCACCCTTTTAGTTTCTCAGCTAGCATTTTCAGTTACCTGCTGACCATCTCCACCCAGGTGTCTGTCTCAGCATGGCTGAAACCAAATTTATCTGGCACATAGTCAAAGCCCAATACTATTTATTGGAAATCTTTTTTTTTTTTTATAAAACCCAGGGCCCCTAAAACAATTCCTGCTTCTAGCTTTCTGTTAAATGGCACCATCATTTTCCCAGGCTCATTCTTTCTTCTTTATCTCATATAGCAATGTGTATATCTTTAATTTAGCATTTAACCTATTATATTTTAACTGTGTGTTTATATTTTTGTAGAGACTGTTTCTCATTTATCCTTGTCCCCAAGCAGTACCTAGCATATGGTCATTATCTCTAAAAACAATTATCTCAGTTATTGGGTACAGAGAATTTTATCTAGTTGAATAGTTTTCAACTAAGCATCTAGTCAGTGTGTCCTTTTACCAAGGAATATACATATTAAGGCACACCACATGAGCTGAGTAACCCCCACCCCACTGCTTAACTGTTGGGGTTAATATGACCAATGTTCTCCATGTCAAATTATTTTTCCAAACAATGTTTTATAAAATCTAAGTATCTTATAACTATATTTTGCTCAAAGGGAGGTCCACTTTAAGGAAACTGTGTGGTACATGCACTCATTAGGATTAAAAAAAATATAAGATTTTTTTAAAGTTATGAAATATTTCAGAATTACAGAAGTATCAAATTACAGATATTTCAGAAAAGCAAGTTTCACCCAGATTTAACAGATCTTAATATTATATATTTGCTTCACAACATTTTTCATTTGTTTAAAGAAAGATCTCACAGATCCAGTTAGAGTTCCCTTCATCTCATTCCTGTCTTTACTTTGCCAGAAGTAACCACTGCCCTAATTTGTATGTACCAAAAACAAGTATGTATTGCTTTGTGTGTTAACTTTACATAAATGTTATCGTACTGTGTTTGTCATTTTATGTATATTTTTTCACTTAACGTGTTTTTGAGATTTATCCATGTTGTACGTGGATCTAGTTCAGTAGTTCTCAAAATGTGCTCCGGGAATTCCCAGAGATCTCTCATATTCTTCCAGCCACATTCTTCTGTACACTACACGGGTACTGTACAGAGGCTATATGACACATGATGTCATAATAGATTGAACACAGAGGCAGTTATGAGAATCCAGCTGGCCTCTATTAAACTTGTCTTTAAAGAGGTTTGCAAAAATGTAAAACAATGCTACTCTTTTCATAATTTTTTTCGAAAAATAATTATTTTAAAATAAGTTATGTTTACATACAGTGGGTTTATGGTCTTTTGTGAATTTATAAATATATTTTTAAATGTTTCAGATTTAATTTCTAATATAAATAACTATAGATAGAATCCACATCAACAAAAACTCTTTGAGGTCCTCATTGTTTTAAGACTGTAAAGGGGTCCTGAGACTAAGAAGTTTGAAAACAAGTTCATACATTTTACTTGTATTTCAATGTATAAATATATTGTGGTTTATTATGCAGGGGCCATTAGGTTTTTGGCAGTTTTCTGCATTTTTAAACAATGCTACTGTGAACATCTTGACATTGTACCAGGGGTCTTCTCTCTTGGGATTAATTTAGAATTCCTATATTCAAGAGCCTGCATTTCTCAAATTTACTAAGAATTGCCAAA